GGCTAGCTATGTGCTGTCTGGCTGCACATGTGCTGCGTGCTGGCTGGCTGGGCTGCCCAGCCTTGGTGCTAGGCGCCAGCTGGCAGCCTTGGCAGCCAAGGCAGGCTGCCAGCCAGCCAAGTGGCGTGGTCAAGCTTGGTCAAGGGAGGGACCATTTGCATGGTGTTTGGCTTGGGGAGCAAGGTGCTTTGGTCCCCCCCCCCCTCTTTGGTGGTCCTCACCTACCCTCTCCCTCCATGTGACACTTGGAGCTTGTTGATTGCCTTGCATTTTATATTGTTTTTTCATTAAAATAAAATTGAGGAAAAATGCAAATCTCCCACATTGATTGGAGAAGGGAGATCAAGTCTTCATTCCCTATAAATACCCAAGTTTTGGGTTTGGGAAAAATCACTTGAGTTGAATTCAATAAGGCATCTCATCATTAGTGAGAAAACCTTTAAGTTCGTAATACTCTAGTTTTGTTTGGTCAAGTCTCGACCAACCTTCGGGATTAAAACCGTTCGGGTCAGGTCGAGGGTGTGAGTCGTCGGAGGCCTACGCACTTGCGTGGCTCAAGCTTTGAAGTAAGAGCTCGTGAATTAAGCAAAACACGCGTCGAGGGTAAGAGTGTCTTTTCTCTTTCCCTCTCTTATATTGTTAATTATGTGATTGCATGTTTAGTTGGTTTAATTAGTGGGCGAGTTTCTCTTCCGCGTAGCGTTGGACGCTACGAAACCCAACAGATTGAAACATAAGAAATGCTAAGCATAGAGAACTATAGAACTCAATTCACCTTTCGTCCCAAACGATCTTACCGCGTTCTCCCTACTAGTTTCAAATCCACCTCTAGTGAGCATCTCAATGATTCCTCTAAGTAACTAGAAAAAAAGAGATTTTAGGGCTACTCGACATCTTGAATATACAAACCGCTCCATAAGCTTGACGTCCATCTCCCTCCACCGACTTGTGATTCAACCACAAAGGTCAAAAAGGTCTTTGAAGGGTTGTAACATATGGGCAAAATGGGTAAAGGTAGGCTAAAAATTTGAAAATTTTGGTGGTATACCTAATTGTTAAGCATAAGAATGGCCAATTCTCAACACCATAACCAAGTTATCACCAAAACTCAAACATAAATATCAACACCCCCAAGCTTATTCAAATCAAAATCATGAACATATACACAAAAAGCGTAGACACGTTTTTCTCCAAGCTTAAATGGAGCATTGTCCTCAATGCTCTGAACTAGGGAAATCATAACTACATCAATATATTTTTGTGCTTTTTATTTTCTTTTTCTCACTTTATTGCTTTGTCCTCGGCTCTTTTGACTATGGACAGCTTTTTCAACTTTACATTTGCTTTTATTCACAAACTTATACACAATACATATTTTTTATACAAAATGAGCTCATAACTTCAAATTATTGCACTTATAATCACCAAACAAACTCATCACCACTGGCTTCACAAAACCAAAGATGAAAAGAATAAAACATATGGTAAGAAGTCTAAAATTACGGCTAGAAAAGAAGGTATAAGGCTCAAATGGCTAACAAGGAGGTAAATGTAAACCCAAAACCAAAAATATAAAATCGAAACCTAGAAAAGCAAAAATAATTACCCCGAAAAGATGTCTTTGTCCTTCCTAAGTGGTTCGGTCGCGATCTCGGGAGATAAAAGTCAAATTCTAGATAAAGTAAGCGATAGTCAAGGATCCATGTGCCACACATGCAAAATAGGTAGAAGGCTAGAGAAATGAAACCTCACATGGTTGTAGCAAAAACTCACTATTGGCTTCAAATTTACTATAGGAAGCAACACCTTCTTACCACAAGCAAGTAGACTAGCGCTTCATGATCCTAAAGTTCTAAACTCACTACCTTAGCATACTCTATCCTAGAATCAACCAAGCGTATTCTCAAACCGTGCACACCGTTACCATTTAAGAAGAAAAGCATTCAACTATACAAGTCCAAAAGTATTATGTCCAAAGCAAGAACAAAACAAAACACATTGCAAATTTGTCATGAAACAAACAAAAATCTTTTTGTAGTTTTCAAATATAAGAAAACACATGGAAATGCATATACTCAAGTGCATGGCATAAAATGGACCAACATTCTACCCAAGCATAATAGAATACCCTCCCCCAAACTTGAATGAGACAATACACTCAAATCATAATCCATAGAACCTAAGGGAGGGGAAAAGAAAGGAATCAATCCAACAAACCAACACATGTCCACCAACCTAGCGACAAAAAGTTAAAAAGAAGGAAAAAGAAGGATATTAGCGAATTTGAGAAAAAAAAAATTGCAAAAGCATTCAAAAAGACCCGAAATATCTACATATAAGCCACAATCTCCAAAATTATGTCTTGAAATCCACATGCTAGGAAAGAAGGGGTAGATCTTCCTTAATTCTTAACCCAAGCAAATTCACAAGAGTATATCGAGTTGTGTACCTAGCAAGAAACATAAACACGTCCATGAGACAAAAACTATACAAAAAGAAAAGAAAAAGAAAGCAGTAAAACACGGGTTACTTCCCAAGAAAGGTTTATTTAACGTCCAAGCGAGACCGCTCTAGGAAATAATAATTCAATGATCTCAAGAGCTTATCAAATGCACTACTAAACATTTCATATGATACCCGGTAGGCAAATGACGGAAGGAGGACGTGCAACAAGATTATTGCACGCAAATAAGGACATGCCAAAAGAAATCTTTTTGTGTGGCACAATCACCCAATTCCTCAATAATGGGAGGATGAGAAAGGGGAAGCTCATTAAAGAAGAGAGGATCCTCAATAGGCTCTATGAGATATGAAGGGATAGAGGTTGAATAGGGAGGAATAAGGTTAAAACTTAAAGATAAGGGGACATGAGGAAGGGGAGGAAAAGCAAAGGTCTCACAAAGCCTCACATCACTAATGAGGGCATGAAAATCAATCATGGAATCTTCAAAAGAACGCTCATGACTCACATCTCCCTCAAACAAAAACTCTCCAAAAGAAACAACCTCATCCTCCTTTCCCCCATAATAAATAACACTTCCCTCAACAATCTCAAAGCCTAAAGTCTCAAAACCATGCATGAAAGGATAAAGGTTTCTCTCAAACGCATTTTTCCCATGAAGCATTGCCAATGAACTCTCTCAAGAGGCTGTGGTTTTTCGTTACACCTTCAATGAACACATTAGTCATAACCTCAAAGGAGTCCAATTACTCATAGATAGAAAGGTCGCAAACATGCAAGGTAGACTCATCTTGATGGGGAAGGGGGTTAGGATCCACAAAATCAAGATTTTCTTCATTTTCAACTCCTCTACCATCATCCAAGGGACTCTCAATCTCTCTTAGTTGCTCAAAGTCGTCATCATCATCATCCTCATGAAATCCCTCATTCAATATGAAAGATGGCTCACTTACATCCTCACCAAAGGAAGCTCTCAAAGGGTGTGAATAAGGGGAAGGAAAGCGCTCAAGCTCAAAAGGGGAATAAAAAGGATCAAAATCCTCTTATCACAAGAAAATCTCCCCTCACCTTTACACCCTTAACCCATATCATCCTCAAAAGCACTCTCACACTCCAAGTGAGGTGCCTCGCATCCATTTCCAACAATCCTAGCACTCATCACTTGGGCAAGTCTCACTTCTCTCAACTTTTGTTCCTCTTGAAGCCCTTGGACTTGTTGGGTAAGATATTGTATTTGAGCAAGAATTTGGGCATCAATGTTAACCTCAATCACCATTAACATGCATATCATCAACATTAGAACAAACCTCATCACAATGAGCATAAGAGGGGAAGGGGTTAACATGCATATTTGGATCATCACAAGGCATATTAAAAGCATCAAGAGAATTCGTTCAAAAATTAAAAGAATCTTGACATTGAGAATCGAAACAAGAAACATAACATTCTCTATCATAAGAATCTCTAGCAAGTTATTTGAAGAAATTCCAAGCATCATGCATAGGCAAAAGATGGAATCTACCATTATACATATTCTCAACCATTCCCCTAGTATACTCATTCATGCCCCAATAAGGTACAAGCATCACTAAGAGAACAACCATGGAAACTAAGTAAACCATCAAGTCTTTCAAAGTAAGCATAGAAGGGTTCATCATAAAATTGAGGAAAAGATAAGCATGTCATTTTTTTTTTTACACAAAGAAAAGAAAAGCAAACAAAAATCAAAACTATCCACAAGAACCTAGCTAATCTAATCAACTCAAACAAATGAATGCCTTGGTCCTCGGCAACGTCGCCAAAAATTTGACCGGCGAATAATAGGTTGTGTCTAATATCCTAAATCAAATCAACAATTTATATTCCTAATTTAATTAGAGATGTTCACACTAGATAGTGGCAAGCTAGGGTCGAACCACAAGGAATAAGTATATTAATTTGAGCTAACTAAACTAGTAGGAAGGTTGTGAGATAGAGAGAGAAACAACTAAAACACTAGTTAAAGCAATTAATAAGATACTAGGGAAAGGGGAATCCAATTACATTAATGAATTCAATAACAAGTCTCAATTAGATGTTCATGATCTCAATTAGGAACGATCAACATACTCAACTCACTCCCGCGCAATTATGCATGCTAATTATCCTACTAAGCTAATTCACTCCCGCGCAACTAGCCTAGCAAAGGTATGGAAGAATCTAGACTCTCAATCAACTCACTTCCCCACAATTAATTGAAAGCACAATTAAGAACCTAGAATCAATTAGCTAAAAAGATTCTAATCAATATAAGCATCATCCAAACACAATAACCAAGAATCAATTGCATACTAATCACAATCAATCACTCAATTCATCAACATAACCTTCATCCATTTCCCTAGAACAAAATCGAAGCAAACATAATGATGAAAAACATGGAAAACAAGGTTAAACAAGAATTAAAGCAAGAATCAATCAAGTAAACTAATTATCTACTCTAATCAACAAAGAATTAAGCAAAAACAAGAATTAAACAAAGCAATAAAGGTGAGAGAAAGTTAGAAAAGCTCATTGAATAGATGAGAAGAGTATCCACAAAATTGCATCTTCAGACTCTTAAATCTCCATTGAAATCCCAAGCTTTCTCTCTCTAAAACTACTCCTAAGCTAGAGAGAGAAACTCCTAATCTAAGCCCAATCCTAATTAGAGGAGAGAGAATGTAAAAACTTGCTTTTATGAAGTCTAAAGAAGGTCGTCCTATTAATATTACAAAAAAACGAAGATAAAATGCGAAGGAAACCTAGAAACCCGCGCCCGCGGTGGCTAAGGGTCGCGTCCGCTGAGAGGCATCTCCGGGGAATTTACAAGAAGCTGGCCAAAACTGGAAACCTGCAGGGTCGCACCTGCAGAGGCTGAACTCGCGCCCGCGGTGGGCAAAACTAGGTTTCCATGCCACGGCGTCGGCTGCCACGACACGGCTGTCTGCCGAGCCACGGTGCTGAACTCCGCGACACGGTGCCCACTGCCGTGCCACGGTGGTTGCGCTGCTGCTTGTGCTTGCTTCGTTCTTTGCTCCTTTTGCTCTTGCTTGTTTCGTTGCTTCTTTTTAGCTTCAAGGCTACTTCTAATGTAATTTTTCGGCCTTCTCTCGGGTCATCAAAATCGAGGAACATGCCAAGTACCTAGACAAATTAAATATACTAAGTGAGAAAAAAGTGAACGATCACAAAGAAAAACACGCAAATCAAGCTAGAAATCGAGCAAAAGGCGCATTATTCACAACTAAGGACTAAAAACATAAAATAAGACAATATTAACTAAAACAAGACTAAACGTACTAGAAATAACAAAAAAAAACCAAAATAAACCTAAAACTAAGGGAGATTTACGTCACCAAGACTGGATCCTCTTTGCTTGTACATATAAGAAAACAGAAGCTCTGATTGTACAGAGTTCCGCCTCCGACAATTAAGTTAGTAAGAGTCGAATTTGAGTAAAATGCGGAAAGTAAAGTGAATCTTCTCGGATCCCGAGATCAGGTGATTTCTCTATTGTAAGAGAATTCTAAATGATGTAATAAATGAATGTGCTAAAAGGAATGGTGTCCTTCCAACAAGTGTATTATTCTGGTAGAGGGTTCAGAATTATTACAGAACTAATTCTTCAGTAAGGTCAAGTGATCAGATTGCCTAGGTGGAGGCCGCTTCCGATCAGTAATATCGAGGTACAATTGATATTACATCTTAATCTTAACTGAACCCTTCGGGTCGAACCCAATTGAACAACCGATCCGAGACGACGAATTAATCCGAAGGATTTAATGAGTCGACAGATTTTTACGAATACAGACGTCGAATATCGAGCCTAGAGCGTCGAGACCGAGCGTCGCAAAATCACAAGCGACAAGTACGAGCATAGTCGTAGCTAGGCTAAGCTAGCTTATCCCAAGCGCAGGCGCACCTTGTGTGTGTTAGGCGCACCATGGTGTGCTAGGCGTAGCATGATGCCTAGGCGCCATCGCAGCCCTAGCATCATGCCTAGGCGCTATCGCAGCCCTAGCACCACGCACAGCACCATCGCAGTACTAGGCACATGGGTGTGTGCGTGTGCGTGTGCACCATCGCCCAGCAGCCTCGCAATGCAGCACCGAGCAATCGCATAGCTGTGTGCTGGCGTGCGTGCCTTCGCATGGCAGCACCAAGCACAGCAAGCTAGCAAGCAGCACTAGCCTCGCTCAGTGCGTGTGCAGGTGCACCATCGCCCATCACCATGGCCAGCATGCGTGGCTCGCTAGCAGCACGCATGCTAGGCCTTGCGTGCGTGAGGGGCTGGCAGGCATGGCTATGCGTAGAGCCTGTGCGAGGGATGCTAGTGTGTGCGAGGCAATGCATGGGAGTGTTGGGCCAACACCAGCATGCTAGCACAGCCTAGCACTAGCACGCACCAGCGCCAAGCATCACCCAGCACCAGCACGCACTACCTGGCTGGGGATGCAAGGCTGCTGGCTGGTGCTAGCTGGTAGCGCTAGCTGGCACGCTAGCTGGCACGCTAGCTGGCAGCCAGCACAGCCTTCCTTGAGGCGGTTTATGTGTGGGTGTGGGGACCAAGCAAAGCCTTGGAGAGCAAGGCTATGGTCCCCCCCCCACCTAACCTTGGGCATCACTCATAAGCATATAATTATGCCACTTGTCGCATTGTGATTGATCTTAATTATATATTTAATTTGGAATTAAATAAATTATTGATTTTTACCAACTCTCCTACATTGGTGGGAGATTGGAAATCAAGGGTTCATTTCCCTATAAATACCAAAGGCTTGGGTATTGGGAAAAAAAACAACCTTGAGTGGAATTAAAAGGCAACTCTTGATTTGAGTAAACCTTGATTTGTAAAACTCATAGTTTTATTTGTTCGGGTCTCGACTAACTTTCGAGACTTAGGACGCTCGGGTCGGGTTCGAGGGTACGATCCCGTTGGAGACCTCGTATTTTCGGGGTTTAAGTAAGAGCTCATTGTTGAGCGAAGCACGCGTCAAAGGTATAATCTTTTATCCTTTCTTGTGTTTAATTATGTTTTGCTTGTTAATTGCATTTATTATGGGGGCGGGTCTTGGCGGGTTTCTTTCCGCGTAGTGTGGGTCACTACGAAACCCAATAGCGGTATCGGAGCCACGCTCATTTTAAGTTTTGCAATTATTAATTAATTAAGGTGTTTCAAAGTAAGAATTAATTTCTGGTTTTTCTTTTCTAATTAGATTAGAAGCTCGTTTTAATTAATTTTAAAACTCGTATTTTTTATCGATTTAGCTGTCGAACCCAGATTTTGGCTCAAAAATAGTGATTTTTGGGTGGAATCGACATTCTAATCCAGATTCATCTCTCTTTGAGATCTGTCCAGAAGCCAAATTCGAACTAGAAACCCAAGTTTTTGAGGTTTTTTTCGTTTTTCAACGAAATTTTAAATCTTTTTAAGCCTTGATTAATGCAAGCATTACAAGGTTAGATTAAATGCATTATTACATCCCTAATCTACTGCTATTTTAAATATCCTTAAGCATAATTATCATAATTATGGAGTTTTAATTAGTGCTTGAGTTGATATGCCTTTTCACATAAACTTGTTTTTTCACAAATTTTGCAAATTAATTGCATTAATGTGTGAATGTTTGATGTGAATGTGTAATTTAAGTTCCCAAGTATGTTAAAGTTCTAATCTTTAAAGGTTTAAATGATTGGAACTCTAACCCTAATTTTCATATTGAACAAAGTTTGGATTTTCATTTTGGTTGATTAAAATCCATAAAGTTCAAATACTTGTGAGTAAAATTTTGATTAATCTTCATATTGGAAGATGTAATCTTGTTATTTTACACAAGCATGAAAGTTGGAAAAATTTTATTATTAGATGGTTAATTTATTTTTCCAACTCCCATTTGTCAAATCCATTATTAATTTGCATATTGGCTAAATTAATTATGGACATAGCTCATTTAATTTTAAGCATAAAGAAAGACCTAAATTTGTTCAAAAAATAAATTTTTGGATGATTTAGGCTTGAGCACCATTAAAATTAAATTTATTTTAGTTAGACTTATTTTATTTTATTTTATTTTTCCTCAAATTGATTCTAAAATGTAATTTAGAATTAATTTTTGTCACACACAAATCGGAATTAAAATTCCAAGTAAAATGAACGCAAATCGATACAAAAACGCAAGCGTCACCAAGGCTAGCCGGGCTGCCTAACAGCCCACATGTAGGCTGCCTATGGTGCGCGCATGGCTAAGCATCAATGTTGCGTGGCTGTGTGGCGAAGGGTGCTAAAGTGCTGGGCTTGGGCAATGGCATTGGCTGCTGGCTGCTTAGAGCGCTGCTGGGCAGCGTGGTAGGTGCCAACATGCGTGATGCTGGGCAGCGTAGTGTGTTGTGCTTGGCGCAACATGCTAGCACCAAGCGCCAGCACAGCCCTTGATGCTGCTGGTGCTGTGTGGCGTAGGCTGCTGGCAAGCTTGTGCTGCTGCTGGGCAGCGAGGCAGCAAGCCCCAGCCAGCCAGCCCACTGCTGCCTAGCAGCCATGGTGCGCAATGCACCATGCTTGGGTGGGGCTATTTTGCTAAATTTTTGAGCTATGCAATTTTGCAAAAATTTTGCCGTTTTAAATTATTTATATAATTATTTTAACGAGGTTAGACCTCGATTTTTCCGGCTTTTGCAAAAAAAAATTATTTTGACAAATTATGGGTTATGCCGACTTAATTAATCGGATTAATTAAGTGTGTGGATGCGGAATTTAGTGGGAGCTTAGTTAATTATGTGAGCATTTTGTTTTTAGAAATAATGGATTAAACAACTTTGACTAGTTTTAATTAGGCGCGTTAATTGGATTAACCACCTAAGTTAGTTACTAGTTTTGCGTGTTTAATTGTGTATTTCGTAAAATGCATGGGCCATTCACAAATAGTGAATGGGTGAATGAAAAATTGTTTTCAAAACAGGTTATTGAAAATGGCAACTAGTGGGGCCCGACTAGGATTAAAAATACGGACTGCGTTCCGTTATGTTTTTTTGTAAATCTAAATACGGTCTGCGAACCGTTAAGTATTTTTGTACTTTAGATTAGTCTTAGTCGTTCTAACTAGTTATTTTATTTTGGCCAAGATGTCTCAAGACGGCGTTTCGATGAAGACGAGCCAAGATGAAGACCCATGGAAATTGAAGATTTCAAGGGGTCATGCTAGTTGCCAAATGCATCTATTTTATGCTTTATATATATTATTATTGTTATATATGAATGTTAGATGCAAGTCTAGGATTTCATATGTTGCGGCGATTAGTTAAGTTCACTTAAATCAAACCAACATAGAAACGCTAGGTCCCTTAATAATATTGAGCTAAAATTTGTCGTTCCAAGAACAACACTTACCGAACTAATGTGCGTATGTGATGGGCTACGCCAAAGCGAGGCATCACTACTTCCCTAGGAACGTAAGGTATACTAGGTATACAAGTTTTATTGGTTAAGCTCAACGATATCAGTAAGGAGTCCTTAGATGTCGTGGCAAAAGAGATAAAATGTCAAGAATGCATTAGATGCGACATTTTATCAAACCAAGAGTAGCTTGGAGCTATTAGCAATTGGATTGCTTACCTTAAGATATTTAATGATTAAGACAAGCCAAAGCATGCTTAACCATTTCTTGATCTTTGGGATCTCGGAATCATTTTATTCTCGCCCATAAATGAAAATTTATTAATGCGTGGATAAAATGCTCAATAAGATTGAAAATATGCATGAACGCTTTTTTCAACTTATTGATTTATGAATGGTTTTTCATTTCAAATTCTTTCAATTGTAAAATAATGTCTGCAAGTAACTCAAACAACAACCAATTCTCTTTACGCTCAATTCTCGACAAGGAGAAGTTGAGCGGGCCAAATTTTCTTGATTGGCAAAGAAATTTGCGCATTGTACTAATGCAAGAGCAAAAGGAATACGTCCTTGATGAGGAAATGCCCGACGCTCCCAATGAGGAGGTCACTCAGGCTGCCCTTAACCGATGGCAAAGTGCCAATCGGGATGTCAAATGCATCATGTTGGCCACTATGTCTCCGGATCTTCAAAAGACTTTCTTTGAAAAGGAGACGGCTTTTGAAATCATTTCTGAGCTTCAGAATATGTTTCAAGAGCTAGCCCGAACTGAAAGCTTCGAAACCCACAGGCAGATCCTTGAGAGCAAGCTCAAGAAAGGAGAGCCAGTCAGCCTACATGTCCTCAAAATGATTGGATTATTTGAGAACATGGAAAGGCTTGATGTTGGGTATTCAACCGAGATGACAATTGACATCATTCTCCACTCGCTTCACAAAGGCTATGATCAGTTCAAGATGAACTATAATATGCATAGCATGGAGAAAACCCTCACCAAGCTTCATGGTATGTTGAAGCAAGCCGAGCAAACCCTCAAAGATGAGGGAAAGCATGACATGCTCATGGTGAGGAAGGGCAAGCCATTCAAACGTCCGGACAAGAAGAAGAGATTTAAAGGGAAAAAGAGAAATTTTCCGCCTAAGTCAAACACTGTCAAGCGCAGCAAGGACAAGAAGGTAGCCTCTTCCAAGTCTGATTCCGAATGTTTCTACTGCAAGAAGAAGGGACATTGGAAACGGGACTGCCTCAAATTCAAGGAAGATAAGAAGAACGGCACCGTTGCTTCTTCATCAGGTATTTTTGTTATAGACTTAAACTTCGCTAGCAAAACATCATGGGTATTAGATACCGGATGTGGCTCACACCTTTGTTCCAATGCTCAGGAACTAAGGATAAATAGGAGGCTAGAGAAGGGAGAGGTCGAGCTTCAGGTCGGCAATGGAGCAAGAATGTCTGCCGTCTCCGTTGGAACTCTCAGTTTGTCATTGCCCTATGGGCTTATTTTAAAACTTGACAATTGTTATCATGTTCCTAGAATTACAAAAAACATTATTTCAATATCGGCGATGGACACCAAAGGTTTTGAATTTCGAATTAAGAACAATAGTTGTTCATTTTATTTCGATAATGTTTTTTATGGTAAAGCATATTCAGAAAATGGTCTTTATGTGCTTTCTCTTGACAAACAAGTCTAGCACAGCCTAGCACTAGCACGCACTAGCGCCAAGCATCGCCCAGCACCAGCACGCACTGCCTAGCTGGGGATGCAAGGCTGCTGGCTGGTGCTAGCTGGCAGCGCTAGCTGGCAGCCAGCACAGCCTTCCTTGAGGCGGTTTGTGTGTGGGTGTGGGGACCAAGCAAATCCTTGGGGAGCAAGGCTATGGTCCCTCCCACCTAACCTTGGGCATCACTCATAAGCATATAATTATGCCACTTGTCGCGTTGTAATTGATCTTAATTATTTAGTTAATTTGGAATTAAATAAATTATTGATTTTTACCAACTCTCCCACATTGGTGGGAGATTGGAAATCAAGGGTGCATTTCCCTATAAATACCAAAGGCTTGGGTATTTGGGAATACACAACCTTGAGTGGAATTAAAAGGCAACTCTTGATTTGAGTAAACCTTGATTCGTAAAACTCATAGTTTTATTTGTCCGGGTCTCGACTAACCTTCGAGACTTAGGACGCTCGGGTCGAGTTCGAGGATACGATCCCGTTGGAGACCTCATATTTTCGGGGTTCAAGTAAGAGCTCATTGTTGAGCGAAGCACGCGTCAATGGTATAATCTTTTATCCTTTCTTGTGTTTAATTATGTTTTGCTTGTTAATTGCATTTATTATGGGGTCGGGTCTTGGCGGGTTTCTTTCCGAGTAGTGTGGGTCACTACGAAACCCAACATGTGCCCCTAAAATGAGGTAAATGTCCCTATACATAGGATATTAGGAATCAGTGCCCTTGTCTTAGGTTATCAACTAAGGTATTTGGGTAACATGTGTCCCTTTTTGATTGAGCCACGTGATCTGGGTATTTATACACAAATCAAAAGTAGTTAATAACAATGTATAATGTCTCATATAGACATATATAGATAAACAAAATCAGGTCTCATTACTGTTAAATCAATAAGAGCCATATCCATGTTACTTATTGACAAGGATAAGAAAAAATTAAAACACAGGCAAATAATCTAAAGCCTCTTACTCTAAGCAGCATACACATACGAAGGAATGAGCATACACCAACACAAACTTTTGTAACCAAACCCACAAATAGGCAACCGAAGGACTGAGTCAGAGTGTGTGAGACTAAAAAAATATAATCAATGAGAACAAGAACATGATTATAGTCACAAAAAAAAAAAAAAAAAAGAAGTAAACAGAATAACTAAAGCAAAGAAGAAAGCATTAAGCTAGTTTAGTTCCATATTACATTGAAATAAATATGCTGGTCACATGAATTGAATTTACATGTTAAATCTTCTAATAAGCTCACATGACTTCTTAGAATATGCAGGTTTTGTAATTAAATGAAAATTTTGGGGGATGTACTTGACAGTTAAATATATAACCCAATAATATGCAATACAATCTTCTTTTGTTCAACTAGTTCAATTACCGTATATCAAATAGAGAAGACATAATTCTATAAATTAAATCTCAATTACCCAATTGTATAACAAAATGATTAAAATGTCTTGATTCTAACTTCGATTTTGCTAATACTAATTTAATTTTCAAATAAAATTACTCACATTCTAGATAATTTTCAATGATTCGGTAAATGCTCCCAAAACCTCAACCTTAACCTCATCCTCACCCGAGTGGCTCCTGCATTGAAAATTGGTAAAACATGCGATTAAATTAAATATTCTTAACAAGATAATCATGTATTTTAACATTTAACTAGGTTATACCCGTGCGATGCACGATTTGAATAAACCTTTCTTGTAATTTATGTTCTGTTGCATATACGAAGATTAGAATTAAATACAAAAGTAATTTAAATTACAGTTAAGGAAAGTAAAAAAAATTGAAACCGCGTTCAACACGAAACAAATTAGATATGTGAAACTATAATTTAGGAGAGAAACTTGGTTAATTGAATTTTATATAGGCACTATGCATTAAAGTAAAAAATATAGATAAAAAATAAATAAATAAATAAATAAAAATTAATTGATGACATATTGACATCACACGAAGAATTGGAGGGAAATTTTTTAATTTGAGAATGACACGTACGATAATTTTAGGGTTGATAATGTCAATATTTTGTTTTAGTAATAGTTAATAGATAGGTTAAATGCCTACCCACTAGTATAGTACTAAGGGCACCATCACATTCAGTGAAGCAAAAGAGAAAAAAAAATTAAAAAAAGTTCTAGTTTATAAATCTCAAGCACATATTTTGATTATTAATCTATACACAAATTGAATATCAACCACAAAATTTATCCTCAGAATTTGCTCTTGAAACAATTTTCTATTAGGCAGGCATAGATGATTATACACCCGGCCAGGACAAGTGCAAACAACCAAAGTTAAGAAAGGTTTAGGTTTTAGGCCGCCTCAACTCATTCAAAGCTGAACGAACCTCGGCTCTCAAGCTTGGGCTCGAATAGCCTCAAAAATTATCCACTAAGCTTTCATAATCGATAACGTACGCTTGAAAAATATGCTCGTAATGCAACTCAATAACAACCAAATTTGACACAATTATCAAAGTAGACTAGAAAATCACATCAATTTCTTCTGGCTCAAATAATAATATTTACGTAAATTACCCCCATCAACAATTATAACAAATTTGTCAAGAATCTACCTTAAATGAACCCTGAATTGACTATCCTAACAATTAAATTAACAATAGCGTAAAACTAAACTTTAGATTCTGCAAAAAAACAAAAAAAAAAAAAACAATTACCTCAAAAGCTGCTTCAATGGAGGAGAGAATCACTGGGAAATTTAGAGCATGACAGTATAATTCAATGGAGGAGAAAGTAGAGCAGTGTGAAAACTTATGGAATTAGGATTTTGTGGATTTAGATCTATAAAGTCGTGGAGGTTGGTTAATCAATTTTTTTTTTTTTTTCTTTTTTTGTGTTATGCTTTAGTGGACTGGTAAAAATGGGATGAGTGGTTAGATTAATAGCACATTATTGTAGCGTTTAATTAAAACGCTGTTGTATCGTACTTTTTTTACAGTATTTGTACATGAAATGCTGTTAAATTGCTTCCTTAAGTGGTTTACTGTTGCTATCCCAAATAATAACAGCATTTTTGTCAAAGTGCTATTATTTTGGTGTTGTTAAAAGCTCAATTTGTTGTAGTGATATTCAGAAAACGGTCTTTTATGTGCTTTCGTTAGACAAACAGGTTTGTAATGTTGACAATACCGTCAAAAGGGTTAAAACCGATGTGTCAAGTCCAGCCTACTTGTGGCATTTTCGTCTAGGCCATATAAACATCAAGCGCATCAAGAAATTTCTTAATCAAGACATTCTTGATTCATTTGGCGTGGAGTCATTTGAAAACTGCGAAGGATGTTTACTTGGTAAAATGATAAAGCAACCCTTATCCAAGTTAGGAGAAAGGGCAAGTGATTTATTGGGTCTCATACACACGGATGTATGTGGACCAATGAGCACGACTACAAGGAATGGTTATCGCTATTTCATCACTTTCACGGACGACTATAGTAGATATGGATATGTCTACCTAATGTCGCATAAGTCTGAATCTTTTGAGAGATTCAAAGAGTTTAATAGTGAAATGGAGAAACAACTCGGCAAGAAAATCAAAGCCCTTCGATCGGATCGAGGGGGTGAATATTTGAGCTATGAATTCGACGATCATCTGAAAGAACATGGTATTCTTTCAGAATTGACACCTCCCGGAACTCCACAATGGAACGAAGTGTCTGAGAGGAGGAATCGAACTTTGTTAGACATGGTTCAATCCATGATGGGTCTTACCGATCTTCCTATTTCTTTTTGGGGACATGTAATTCAAACTGCTCCACTAACACTGAACCGTGCTCCGTCAAAAGCTATCGAAAAGACTTCATATGAATTATGGACGAAGAAACCTCTGTGGTTGTCTTTTTCTAAGATTTGGGGTTGCGAAGCATATGTCAAGAGATTCGTGTCTGACAAGCTTACACCAAAATCTGACAAATGTTTTTTTGTGGGGTATCTAAAAGAAACAAAGGAGAATTACTTCTATAACCAATCTGAGAAAAAAGTATTTGTTGCTCAAGATGGTGTCTTTTTGGAAAAGGAACAACTTTAAAAAATGACAAGTGGGAGGAAAATCGAACTCGATGAAGTTCGAGAGGATGAGCAATAAAAGGAGTCCGACACTCAAAGGGCTTCGGAAGCACCTATTGATGAAAGTCAAGATAAAACCTACAATGTTGAAGCTCAACCGATCACCCTACGTAGGTCATAAAGGCAAAGATCTCAACCAGATAGATACCTTGGTGTCTTGTTAACCGAGAATCAAGAAATCCTAGTAATGGAACGCGGAGAGCCTACGACTTACAAGAAAGCTATGACGAGCCTCGACTCTGCTAAATGATTAGAGGCCATGAAATCCGAGATGGACTCCATGTTTGAAAATAAGGTCTAGGACTTGGTTGATTTGCTCGAAGGTTACAAACCTATCAGTTGCAAATGGATTTTCAAGATAAAAACCAACAAATATGGAAGTGTACATGTATACAAAGCTAGACTGGTGGCAAAAGGTTACAAGAAAATTCACGGCGTTGATTATGATGAAACCTTTTCACCGGTTGCAATGCTTAAGTCTGTCCGGATCATCCTAGCAATTGCTGCATATAATGATTACGAAATATCACTACTACAAAAATGCCCAAAGTAACCTATTAAAAGAGACATGTTATATCATATAACAAGTTTCTTTGATCAATAAGACCTAATATTACTAGTAACAGGTCTCTTATGTGGAAATTGATGGTGGAAAAAAAATAAAGTGACTTGGTGTTATCTTTAACAGGTCTCTTTTTACAGTATTTTTTTATTATTTATTTAAAATATATTAGATTATTACTAGTATTAGAATCATATTTTTAAAAAAAAAAGAAAAAAAAAAACAAAACAAAACTAGTATTAGAATCAGGCTACCTTATTTACAAAAAAAAACTCCTTTTTATCGCCCCACTCTCGCCTGAGTCACCTCTCAGGCTCTCACCCTTGACTCACTGCCCCCTCCGTCGTTGCCCACGCTGCCGCCGTCTTATTCTCACCGCTGCTACTCTCCGGTGTTCCTCTCTAGTGTCGGTACGGTTCTCCCCTCATCAGAAGTTGCTTTCCTACATAACCCCGAAGATTGCCATCTCCCTCTCGAACCTCCGGCGACTTCCACATACAACGCGACCCTTACCTCCGTCGGCAGCGACTACCGAATCCATTACTCCCCTCCTATACTCGAAGCTTCCCCCACCCAAAGCTGCCATCAATACCTTTTTCCCCATATTAATTTTTTTCCTAGGGTTTATCGACTTCTCTCCTCTTTTGATTATTGGATGGGCTTCTTTAATTGACGATTGTGGAGATGAAGTAAAATTTTAAGTTGGAGATAGCAATCATACACTCAGATCTTGGTATAGGTAATTTTTTTCAATTTTTTTCTCAATTGTTTGTTAGCATTTAAATTTTGATTTATATACAAGTATGATTTTATTTACTGAATTTTGTGAATATTGTATTATAGGTATTTTGTTTATGATTTGGAAGGAGAATGCGTGAAATTATAATGGAATGAAGTCTTAATTTTGTTGTATTAATCATGAAAAATTGCTAAATTTTGGTTGATTTTTGTGTATAGAATTGAGAAAGTGAGTATTTCTAAGAACTAGCTAATTAGATGTTAAATATTGAAACAACTTTGATTTAGAGTCTATATATATTCATTTGAATTTGGGTGTTTAGAATTGCAATTTGAATCTTTTGGTACGGTTAAAGATTAACTGTCCCTTTTACAACCTAAAGCACTGGCTTCACCTCACAAGGCAATTTTACTGTGTGGTCGCAATTTAAAGCAGCATTATATGAACTCTGCCGATAACTTTTTTTTTTGTGATCTTATACTTTCCTGAGGCTAGCACGAAATATCAAATGTGCTCTTGGAATGAATTTTTAAATTGTTTTTGTAGCATGCAAGAGATCACAGTTTGTTTGAATCCTTAAAAGTAAAGTCTTTATTAATTAAATACTACAGCTATAAGAAAGAAAGGTTGATGTAGGAATTAAATTTAGCTATAATCTTGTCTACTTTTGAAGACTCTAAGCTTCTTAGTATATATCTTAAATAGTGTGGCAAGTGTGCATAAGGCATGTCCTTTCCTCTTAATTAAGATGTCTCTAATTTTTTTTGTCCGAAAATCCAGGTGAAAGCATTTGCACTACTTGCATCAAAACTGAATTGTTCACAGGAACTTGTAAGTTAACATTATAGGGTAATAAGACCAATAGCAATGATGGGAATCTAATATTGTATTTGACGAGTGTAATGGCTTGAGAATTTGGCAATCTGGCTTGCACTAATCTAGTTGCAGTTGCTGTTAGTCTTCTCACCTCTCTCAAACAAATATGTAATTCGAAATTTATGTAGTAAGGTTAAATTCATTCAGCGTTAAGGTTAAATTTTTGGTAGCCTACTAGAGGTGATAATATAAAGCTTATTCTTACTTCTGTTTTCCAGCTTTGCTATATTGGGTTTATATGAGCCATGTCAACAAAGACTGTTTTCTTCACTCTGTCAATCAAGGTCAGGCTTATTTGCTGTTATTTGCCTCCTATTATAATTATTTGCTATAATGTAGTCTGCTTCTCCAATGATAGTTGGGTATCCCTTCTAAAATTCATCATATGTGAGTGTGTACTTTCTTGCTATAGTGGTCAGAGATAGCCTCTAAGAATTATTATTTCATATGCCTATAATGAAGTCATGACGTGCAATAGTTCTTCAATTTTGCTCATGATTATGGCGAGTTATACTTGTCACTTATGATGTTCTATAACTAGTTTTATTGTTACTGTACATCGGGTTGTTACCCTTCACTCATAACTGCAATTTAAGATGCTAATTACATGGTCCAGAAACTTGCATGTTAAATACTCAGTAGTGATTATTTTGGATTTGGAAACAAGGGTCTATGATGCCAATTAGTGTCATATAACGGTTGCAGTATAATTGATTTCAAAATGAATAAGTCAGTCCATCAAGTCCTTTCCTGTCAGAACTATTTAATACGGAGTAATGATTACACTATACTTGATATTAGAGAGTTAGGGTTACTCATGCATACTGAGATCATCATTAGGCAGTGAAGTATACAGGAAATTCATGTGTTGATGGCTATTTAAGCTCACCATAAGAATGCTGATACTGAAATCCAATGCCTTGTCAGGGGAAAGATTTCAGGAAATAGAATTCTAGGGTTTTAAAGCATTCTCTCTTTTATTAAGCTCCATGTCCTTCAATTAATTTTCACAAGTTTCCTTTGATAATCTAAGATTACTTTGATGTTGATCATTGTATGATAATTGGATTATGCAGGTTTTTTCCCCCTTTGTGTTGCTGCTTCAGGTCACACTACTCTTACATTAGGTCACAGGTCATACAACTTAAGCATAGTTTTAGATGCAATTGTGAAGCTGCAAAGATGGTGGGAAAATGTTTTGGAGTACAAATTGAGAAAGAAGCAGCAATTGTTATTCAATGTCATATTCGTGGATTAACTGTCTGCAAATAGACATTAAAGAGAGATAACACGCCATTGCTATTCAAGTAAGATTGAGTCCTTCAAGACTTTATCTATTGCTCTAAGAAGAAGTATTTAACTACTTCTAATAGGTTAATAAGTATGGTTTATATTTTTGGGGGATAATTAGAGTATTTTTAGATTTTTGTAAAGTATTTTTGAAGGTTACATTTGAATTTTTATTAATGAATGTTTGTAAAAGTGTTTATCCACTTAAGTTTAATAATATATTTTTTTAATAGAAGTTTAATAATATATTATCCATGAACATTATGAGATTATGGAGCAATTGCAAAATACAGGTACATGAATACTATATAGGTACCCTACAGGAACAAATACTGTATAGGGTATCGAATTTTGTTTTTTCTTTTAAAAAAAATTTAAGACATAAGAGACCTATTATCTCTCCTAACAGGTCTCTTAAATGCGTTCAATAGACCTGTTGGGAAAGATAACAGGTCTCTTTTCCTTCATAGATTCAAAATATTATTATGGGAAAAGAGACTTGTTATCTCACTTACGAGGTCTCTTATTAATTGCAAAGAGACCTGTTCCATAAAGCAGGTCTCTTTGCCA